GAGTATAATGTTTGCTTCTAGATTATGTGCAACAAATAAGCTTGTTTTGGTTAAATCGTGTGTTACCTAAACAAACAGCCACTCCAGTGAACTTTGCAGTGACAGATTAGCTTTGTTGGTTTTTAACAAGATGAGATACATGTTACCAAACAAAAAAAAATATTAAAAATTGATATCCAGAAAGAAACTGCGTTCTACTATGGAAGTCGTCAAAATACAACGTAATTTCAGCTTTTCAACTCACAAGATGCACAACAGGCACATCAGGCACAAGTCGATATGACGTGCAGGCGTCCAAGTTCATTCCGTTTTCGTCTTCCCAGAACGCAGCTCCCGACATATCTTGTGTCGTGTTTATTATTTATAAAATTATGACACTTTCTGACTGTTGCATCACAAATATTGTTGTTGTTGTTGTTGTTGTTGTTTTTATAAATGTTGAAACCTTAAATTTATTCTCGTATTTTACTTAGACACTTCTTTAGATAAATATTTGTGCTTAAGTAGTTTCAATTTGACAGCTTGTTTCTCGCACGTGACGCTTGATCCCTACTTACGAGTATGTGGATTTCTCAGTATTTCACTTAGCACATTATAAATTAGGGCTTAGGTTTTAATTGACTGTGCTAAGTATATGAAAATTTTAATATTGAAACGCAATACTACAAGCATACGTTGAAATCAATTTATATAATAAATAGTCTTTATAGCCATAATTTCATAAATATTCTTTCGTGTGATGAAAGATATTTAAAGGCACATGAATGTTTTTAAGTCGCAGATATTCAATTTAAAAATATTATAAACTAATCCTAAACAACTTATCTTTATCTTTATCGTGCTAGGTCACCCACCTAAGAGCTTTCCCAGCCTTCTGTTCGAACTTCTGTTCGAGCACCAATACAATATCCTTCAGATTAGTTAACTAATGAGTCTTCGATGCTTTTAATTAACTAAATTACTTCATATATGTTTGATGTGATTCGTTGTACACCAGAGAACAAAGCAGAACAAAGTCAGAAGAATGATATATAATTTCATAAAAAAAATTGGCTTAAGTAGTGGTATAAATTTCGAATGATATAAATTTGATAAAAAAAAACTCTTAAACATACAAAATTAATTAAATTAAGACTACATATTCATCATTTCGAAATCATTTTATATTACTTTGATAAAGTAAAAGTTGATTACATGTTAATCTTAAACAGATTTCAAAAGCAAATATTTGATGCAATAAATCCGTTGATTACCAGCATTTAATAAATATGTAATAATAATAAATATTTCATAATTCGCATTTCTCACAATTTCAATTAGTTTCGAACCAGTTCTGTGGTGGCTTCCAAAGCTATAAGTGTTCAGTAAGTGGCCAAAGAAATGCTGTTTCTTTCAGTAGCCTTTGCAACAACTTATATAATCGTTATCTTGAGAAAAGCAAATGTATCTCATTTTGTGATCCCTCCTACCTTATCAGCTAGAATGCATCTACTAAACACAATAATTTCAGCACTCTTAACTGTATCTGCAGCATAGACAAGTTGTT